TTAATCTGGTTGATAGCCTAAGAGCTTTTTTCCATTAACTCATACACTAGTCTAAAAAATAAACTTCAATTATGTAATACCTAATGTGAAATGTAGTTATTGATATTTCAAAACATAACAAATAAGAAAAGTAAAATTATAAATATGACCCCTATTTCCTATTTATAGTTTTAATCAGAATGGTATACTCTCAAAAGTATGAGTACTAATAAATCTTCAACTATTACTATGTAAAGCCTGCATAAAACAAAGAAAACTCATTTTTATAAGTCCACGGATAAATAACTCATTTGTATTTTACACAGGCTTGCCTCTTTAATATTAAATTTGTTAACTGTTCAATTATTAACCAAAAATACACTTTAAGGAATTTAAAACTACAGGCTTTTATCAAAGTTAGATTATAAAAGAACTTTCAAAATAGTACACATATAGTGGTTTGTATTTGTTTATTTCAAAAAGATGGTAAATAATATCTACATTGGCAAATTGAAACTATAAAATTAAATCTCCACAATAAAATTTGTTAATGAAACCAGAAAATGTATAGTATTTTCCTACTGTACTTAAAAAAAATCCTACCTGAAAATTTTCACCATTTGGCCTATTCTATTAAAAATGGGTCAGTTTTAGCATTCTATAGATATTTGGTTTTCACTAACACATGAGATCCTTTGATGTAGCAAGATATATATCTCAACAAAAAATAAAAAATATTAAAAACTAGATCAATTGCATTTTTTAATGTGCTAGGGATCAAACCCACAGCCTTGCACTTGCTAAGGGGGTGCTCTAACTGTTGAGTTGTGTACCAGCCTGCAATTGGCATTATTTAATGTCTATTATTTTTTCACTGAAGTCTAAAGTTTTTGAATTTTGATGAAATTACATATATTTATCTTTTCAATAGTACTTTTAAAAAAACACTTCCAATTTCCAATTAATTTTTTCTACTAAACAGAAAGACCTAAATGTCACATACTTTGTATTTATATAGCCATAAATATGACAGTAAACACCCAGACACACTTTTTGCCTCTATCTTGAACAAGATAAATTTGTTACATTTTTAAAATTCACAACAAAAAATAAATAAAAATAAAAATTTCATAATTTTATTTTCAGTGTTCCAATCTAAAAGTATAACACATTAAATATAATTCTACATCTAAACATTACTATCTCTTTACCAGTAAGATTACCAACCCAAATTAATTGGTAAGTTAAAGACAATGTTTATACATTATTCTCAGGGACACAGTACAGTGAGATGGTTTAAAAGTTTTCATGTGGTTGAACTTTATAATGTGAACTTTGGTTTTAAATAATTAAAAATGTATCCTATTTTGTTTGTATTTTAAAAGATACCTAACACTTAAAACAAGAAAACAATGTTCCCTAGCACACAAAAAGGAACCACAATAAAATTCAAATGAAGGCAAAATTTTCTACTTAAAAGTAGCAAATGGACACATGTTCTCACTCACTTATGAAAACCTAGACCTAATACGATGGTTGACGATTAATAGTAATAATAATGGGACATGATTATACAGGGGACTTCCTGGGGGGACCAGCAGGAGGAGCGAGAGGGAAAGGAAAGAACACTAAGGGGTGAAGAGGATGGAAGTATGCTGCATATATTTATATAAAGACAGCATAATGAAACCCACCAAACACCTTTTGAAAAGTGGGGAACATGGAGGGGGAAATGGGAATATAATGGAAGGGGTGAATTTGTTCAAGGTACACCGCACACATGTATGGAATTATCACAATGAAATCCCTCAGATTATTAATTTGTAATAAATCAAAATAAAATTTAAAAAAATTTTTTAAGTATTTGGGATTCCAGTCCAGCACATAAGGACTAATGGAAAGTGGCATACCAACTACAATAAATAAAAGCTGAAAAAACTGAAAAGCAACAGCTTTTATTAGATCTATCAGAGAAGTAAAATCACAGGGCAAAAATTGGAGAAACAGTAAGGCAAATACAGAGATGTGCAACTTACTAGAGTTGGAGCATAGCAGAAAAATGTCTTCTGCAAGGACAAGACAGAAATTTCTACAAGAACCAGTGTCGGAGTAGAAAACGTAAACTAATCTTTTAGGATAACTAAAAATGATAGCAAATTTTTTTGCTTAGTGAACTTCCTGTAGCACTTCATGAATTTTGCCACCTCATACAAAGGAGTCTGCAAACTAAAAACTCCAGTGGGAATAGGGGATGGCTCACACCTATAATCCAGCTAATAAAGAGGTGGAGATGGGGAGATTGTGGTTTAAGGCCAGCCTGGGCAAAATGTTGGCAAGTCCCCATCTCAACCAAAAAAGCTAAGCATGGTGGTACGTACCTGTTATCCGAGCTATACAGGAGGCATAAATAAGAGGACTGCAGTCCAGGTCTGCCCAGGCAAAAAAGGAGATTGCTATCTGAAAAATAACTAACATGAAAAAGGGCTAGGTGTGTGCCTCAAGTGGTGAAGTACCTGCCTAGCAAGTGCGAGGTCCTGAAGTCAAACCATACACCACACACAGAAAGGAAATGCTGTCATTGCAGCATCATAAATGAATTTGAGGACATTATGTTAAGTTAAATAAGCCAGGCCACTCATGTGAAATCTGAAAAGTTGCTCATATACAAGTGGAGAGAAGAATAGTGAGGTTGGAGTTGGGGAGATGTTAGTCAAAGGATATAAAATTTTCAATGAGATGGAAAAATAAATTCGAGAGATCTACAACAATCAAGAGATTGTGTAAGAAGCCCAATTTTAATAAAAGAAACTTGATTTTCTTTTAAAAAAATTTTATTTTAATTGGTATATAATATTTGTACTTATTTATGGGTACAGTATTATAATTTGATGTATGTGTGCAATGTGTAATTGATCAAATCAGAGCAATAAATCTTTCTATTTCCTTAATTATTATAATTTCTATCTGTTGGAAACCTTCAAACTCTTCTCCTTTAGTTATTTTGAAGTGTACAATTAATTGTTGTAGGCTACAGTTGTTCTACTGTGCTATATGACACTACAAATAATTCTCCCCCAACAGCATTTTGGTACCCATTATCCACCATTTCACTCTCCTCCATTCCCTCCCTTTCATAGGCTTTAGCTCTATTCTCTACTTCTATGTGATCAACTTCTTATTTTAATTTTTTTTGGCAGTACTGGGCTTGAACTCAGGGCCTTCACCCTGAGCCACTCTGCCAGCCCTTTTTGTGATAGGTATTTTAGAGATAGGGTCTCATGAACTATTTGCTGGGGCTGGCTTTGAACCACAATCCTCCTGATCTCTGCCTCCTGAGCAGCTAGGATTGCAGCCACCAGCACCCAGCTGATCAACTTCTTCATTTTCCACAAATTTATCTTTCCATATCTGGCTTATTACTACTTAGCAAAATGTCCCTCAGGTCCATCCGTATTGCTGCAAATGACAGGATTATGTTCTTTTTAGAACTGACTAGTATTCCAATGGGCATTATCAAATTTTATTTATTTTTTATTTTTTCTATTTTCTATTTTATTATTTTTATTTTTGGCGATACTCTGTACTCCTCTCACTGCTGTCATGGAGGTCAAAGGCTCGGTGGAATGTGGATGGGAACAGGAATGGGGTGTGATTCTCCCAGTAATCTTGAAGCTCTGAGAAGGTGGGAAGTATATGTACATTTGTGGAATGGCTAACCAGGCTCTTCAATCGATCTGTAGTGAAGGGGATTGAGGATATATATATACTTCAAGGACTTCCTCAGGTCTGGGAGAAGCTGAACTCAGGGCCTCATACTTGCTAAGTTAAGGTGAATATGATTGATGTACTTGCTATACAAGAATGAATATAGAATATTTAAACCTGTTGAAATGCCATAAGGGGACTAAGGTAGAAAGGAGAAAAACAGAGATGAACCAAATATATATATATATGTGTGTGTATATATATATATATATATATATATATATATATATATATATGGAAATGCCACAAGGAAATTCCCTGTGTAGCATCTTAAACAAACAAAAATGTCTTTTTTTTCTTTTACAAAATCAGGGAACAGGAGGACAGAAGAGGTCCTGCCTGGGGAGACTGGTACCAATCCAATGGGAGGGGACAGGAAGTGGGGAAAGAGCGTGGGAAGGTGAATATAGTGCAAATACTGTGTACACATGTATGTAAATGGAAAAATGATGCTTGCTGAAATTATTCCAGGAATGGGGGAAAGAGGAATAAAGGAGAATGGTGGTGGGGGTGAATTCAAGTATGATATATTTGATATACTATAAGAATTTTTATAATTCCACAATGTTCCAATGTAACAATAAAAAAATTAAAAAATGAAGTTCAGTATTCTAACTAAATTTTAAATATTCCAAAAATGAACAAGCAAGCTAATGGAAACATCATGCTACATGATTGCTTATGTTAATCTTTGAAAAGGCATATGATACTTATTTCTCTTCTTAACTCTAAAACATTTACATTTGCAGCTTGTCTCATGCAGAAGGCTTGGAAATTAGCAGTTTTTTTGCTCAGATAAGATAGTGAGGATGTGAGGGCGATCTGGCTGCGACATCTGTCACCCCACTGAAAGGCCGGGGTTGATTGGCTGATCTGGCTGGCTAGGCGGGTGTCCCCTTCCTCCCTCACCGCTGCATGTGCATCCCTCCCAAGCTGCGCGCTTGGTCAAAGAGGACGGACCATCCCGGATAGATGAGGACCGTTCTTTGGTCAAGGGTATACGAAGCTGCATTCCCTTGCTAGAACCTCCATACAAGCTCTCAAGATAGTGAGACACAGCAACGGGAATTTAGAAACTATAACTTCACTGAGAGATAGTTAAACAAAAATATAAAATATATAAAATATCTTTTTTGTTTCCTAAAGTTTCTCAGTAAAAATTCAGTTTTACTTACACTTTTTTGGAGTGTATGGGATATCCATTAGTCAGGTATATGAGTTAAAGATCCGGAGAGAGATCAGGAGGTAGATATGTTTTTGGGAGTCATCCACAGCAGTTTGGTAAAATATTGTCCTCCAGGCCCAAACTGATGGCTTACTGCCTGTTTTTGGAAATAAAGTTTTATTTGAATATACCTACATTCAGACCATAAATTTGCATGGTATCTGTACTCTAAGGCAGATTTGAACAGTTTGTAACAAAGATCCCATGGCCCACAAAGCCTAAAATATTTGCTATCTGTCCCTTCACAGAAAAAGTTTACTGACTTCTTGTTTAGATGATAAATGAGGCCATAAAAATGGATGATATCATCCAGAAAAAAAATGCAGAGATAAAAGGGAAAGAAGAAAAAGGGAAAGTACAATGAATGAATTGTAGCAATGAAATATTATGGTACTATTTGCTGTCAGTTGAATGTGTTCTTATCAATTTAAAATTGAAGGACAGCTGGGGCATGACTCAAGTGATACAATGACTCCCTAGCAAACACAAGACCCTAAGTTCAAACCCCAGTACTGCACAAAAAACAAAAAAGGGAAGAAAGAAAGAAAAAAAAAGCAAGTAATCGAAAACCATATCCTCATTGTTTACTAAGGCCTTGCTATTCTCCTCCCTCTAATCCTTCCACCACACAGTGTTTTTTAAAAGCCTTTCTTCTATCTTTCCTTCATTATCCAATGTAAATCAGTTACTAAGATATAAATAATGGAGAGTTAAAGTTGTAACATTCATTTTGGGCCTTTTTCTTTAGTGTTTACCCCACAACATTTTTGCTCAATAGGATTGGAGATTTATCTATAATTTGAACATCACTACTACAATAGAAGTGGTAGAGGCTTATGTTGTATATTATCTATAAAAATAAAAAAAGAGAAAACCAAGCCTCAATTGGGAATAACATCAGCAAGATGGTCAAATAGGACTTTCCAGTGCTTACACCTTCCCAGAAACATCAAATTGAAAATACTTTCACAAAAGCCTAGGAATCCAGGTGAGAGTTTGCAGCACCTGGCTGTACAATAGAAATAAAAAAAGAAACATTGAAGAGGGTAGGAAGGACAGTTTCACATTACCTGTGCCATGCCTCCTCAAACCCCAGGCAGTAGTGTAGACATAACCTCTGTATGGGAGGAGAGTATATTGAGCATCAACTTGACCATGAACCCTAGTACCAGGTCCACAGCAATAAAACTCAAAGCCAGGTAGGCCTCTGCAGCCCCAGACTCAGGCCTGCACCCATGGAACCAGCCTCTAGACTTGCTCTACTACCAGGCCAGACCCTGCAGACTCATGCTCAGACCCATTCCAGATTTCAGACCAGCCCCAGTGTTTAGACCTATGCCAGTACTAGGCTAGCCCTGCAGCAACAGGCTCCAGGCCTGCAATGACAAACCAAATCCCACAGCCCCAGGCTATAGACCAGCCCCGATGCCAGGCCAGCCTTATGGTCCCAGATTCAGGCCCCATCAGGCCAGTTCTTGCTCTCTCAGGTTCAGAACTAGTCCAGGCCAGTCTGGCACTTGCAGACGTAGGCTCTGGGCTGGTTACCACAGATACCGGCCCCTGCTTCCCTGGGATCCAGGCCAGCTTCATGTTCCCCCTGATGCAGAGGACTCAAGGTCTAGGTCTATTCTACCAGACTAGGGACCAGGTCAGCCCCAGAAGTCCCTGGTACCCAGCTTGTCTCCATGGACTCAGGTTCTAGGACTGCCCTAAGAGCACAGCCTTCAGGTCCGTCGTTTCTGCAACAGCTACAGGTTGGCTCCTACGATCCCAGGTACTATGATGGCTCCCACAGACCCAGGCTCCAGGCCAGCCACAATGGGTTTAACTCTAGACCAGCACCTAAAGACCCAGCCTCAGAGTTAGGTCCTGAAGTCAAGGTATAAGGCTGGCATCCACAGACCAGGCTCTAGACTGGCCCTCAAAGACCCAGGCTTCAGGTTCTCCCCTGACCAGGATAACCCTAAGCTCCAGTGCATCCAATGCCCAGGTCCATCCCCAGAAGTCCCTGGTGCCAAGTTGAATCCCACACACCCAGGCTCCAGGAGTGCCCCAGATCTGCCACGGCAAACTAAAGCACCAGTTCAGCTTGGCATCTGACCAACCCTAGTGGACTCAGTAAACCCAGGTGCCAGGCCCATCAAAATAAAAAAAAAGGACTGGGGGAGGGCATGGCTCAACTGGTAGAGTACCTGTCTAGCAAGCATGAAGAGTTTAAACCCATGTACTGCCCACCAGCAAAAAAGTAAAAATAAAAAAACTTGGTCAGCTTAAAATACCACAATGCTCTAGCAGTTTTGAACAATATTAATGATGAAACACTCATTCCCCCAAAAAATCTTTTTTTGGTTCAAGTGCTAAACAGTTGTGTTACCGTTGAGTGTTTTACATATATGTATATGCTTCAAATTAGTATATTTTCATTAATAAGCATCACATTGTACATAGAGGTAAGTTTAGAGACCTTACAGCTCACCAACAGCACCTGACACATACAGGTTCAGCTACATGAGTTCCTTCAGAGAGCAAGTTCAAAATGGTGTAAATTCATTCAAGCTCACTGTGGATGCAGTTCATGTCTCCAATCCTCTAGTACAACATATCCCCAAGTTTAAACTACAGTTTCAAAGTAAACAATGACAGTACAGTGAATGTCTCTACTTTTGGGGGGGAGGGCAGGGCTCAAAAGCATGCTTTATTAATTTCCTAGTGCTCCTGTAACAAATTGTCACACATGTAATGGCTTACAACTTAAAAGTGACTGCAGTTTTCCTTTCTCCAAGTGTAAAAATTAGTCTGTGCTCATTTCCTGTCTCCCAAAGATGTCATGGAGATAAGTAACTGGAATGGTGCCACATTCTGAATATATTATAGATATTAACACAGTGAAGCCTGGCTTCTCAGCATCTCCTAAATAATTATTCAGAGCAAGGGCTGAAACCTCACGCTTCCTGGCCTCTACAAGGCTACCACCTTCTAAGAATTCCCCTTCCTCCAGTTTCCATTAACATGTCCCTCGCTTCCTTCTGAGCTCTCACCAGCAACACCTTTAGAGTCCATATTTCTATCAACAATTTGTTCATGGCAGTTTAGGGTTTCTCTATCATGTTTATCAAAATTCTCCCAGCTCCCACCCACTGCCTGATTCCACATGGACTCCCACATCTGTTACTGTAGCAAGGTCTATAGTAGTTTTTGTACTTTGCAACACATTACTTCATAGTGGTTTAAGACAACATCCATTTATTATCTCATAGTCCTGCAGATCAGGAATAAAGGTACAGCTTAACTGGGTCCTCTCTCAGGATCTCACAGGGCTGAAATCACATTGTCAATTTCATTGGAAGCTCAAGGTCCTCTAAGTACTCACTGGTTGTTGGAAGAATTCAGTTCCTTGCATCCAAGGAGCATACAATCACAGTTTTCTTGCTGATTGTCAGCCAGGGAACAATCTTAGCTCAAGGGCCATCCTAAAGCCCTAGCCACATGGGCCCCTCCTCTCACAACATGGCTATTTGTTTCCACAAGGCCAGTAGGAAGATATCTGCTGCTTTCACTTGTTTCTCTTAAGGACTCACTTGATTAGGCAAGACACATCCAGAATAATCTTCCTTTTGCTTAACTTAAAATCAAATGATTAGTAATTTAATCACAGAATTGAAATCCCTTCACATTTGCAACTGAATAGGAGGGAATTAAACAGGACATGAATGCAGACGGTGGGAATATTGGGGCCATCTGAAAAATTGTTTACAAATCAGAGCCCCAATCTACCCACTCCTTTCCCTCTAACCTGGGACAGTGCCTTGGATTTCTGGCCTCACGGTGCAGCTGTGTTCTGTGTATTTATTCCTTTTCCTTTCCCCAGTTTTCCTCACCTACTCCTCAGACATGTTTCTTATTTTCTACAAAACTGAACAGTCATTAAGCGAGTTCTCCTGAAGGTAAGCAACCTGGAAAAGGCCACCAGACATGAAATTATATGTGGCCAATAATCTTTATTCTGAAAAAACTTTGAAGCATCAAATTATTTTAAATACATTTCAAAGTCAGTCACAGATAGAGATAATCATAAGAATCAAAAGCAATTTATTTACAAAATTCCTTACTTGACCAGCAGTGAGAGCCAAGAAACAATAAACTAAGAGACCTCACCAATAGTCTTTAAGCCAGCACATACAAGGGAATGACCAGAGCAGCTCCTGATTATTAGATTAGAAAGATGTCCTTCTGAGTCCTTCAAATACACAAGGACATATACTAAACCAAATCAAAGGGGTCTGTACAAGTAGAACCCATCCTACAAGTAATACTTGTAGGCTCAGTAGAGTCGCATGCTTTGGAGTGAGGTTCCCTATCTACCTTACACAGATGCTTCATCACTTCTGTTGATTTCTTTGTTGGCTTCCTTCTCTTTTTCTCCTCCTTTGTCAGTTTTCTCTTTTTCTCCTTCACTATCACCTTTCTCAGTTTTCTCTTCTACACCATTGTTAGCTCCTTTCTCTCCTTCATTGTCCTGAACACTGATGTAGACTGCCTTGTTATAGCCTTCCCGGTTCCGAGCAATTTCAATGGCAAAAAACTGTATCCTGGGTGCTGGAAGGTAAACAGAATTGATTATTGTCCTAGTCTCAGGTAATTCTCTAAACCTATTAGAAATCTATAGAAAAATCTTAACATGCAAACCATTCAAGTATAGTTATATGCTTCAGAGATCTTGAGTTCTAATCTCATGCTAAGAAAAATGAAAATATTATCTACCTTACAGTATTTAAGAAATAATAACATGATCCTTAAAGACATAACCAATACGATGATCTCCAATCTAACTACGCAAGTCACTGATTCATCAGTAAAACCATAATCCTCGCACTCTTCATACAGAAACAATTCCAGAGGCAAGAAACTCACCAAAGATGGTGTTTTCCTCAGTGTAGCCTTGGGAGCAATCCAGTCGTAGTAAAGTACCATAGTTGAAGTCTTCTACAATCCCTTCAAATTTCAAGCAGAATGGCCTCCACTTCTACTAAGGCAAAAAACAATGCTTTAGCTGATGTACTCAGGCCAGGAGAGAGGCTTTGGATTCCCAGTAAGGGAAAGAACCATAGTGGAAGAGACTAAGATTGAAGTCATTGCTAGTTTCACAGTGAACCCTGTATCAAGTTTCTGTGCTGTTTTTAAACTGGTATTTCCCTACATGAGAAATAACCTAAAAAAACCTTAAAAAAATCTAAATCATTTACTATAGAAATAAAATGTGATTTCTTAAATGGATTCTGTTCTAAAATTATTGGGTGGATCAGGACCAAATGGTTACTCATCCTCACTAAAACACAAATGAGACAAAGAAGGCCAAGAATTTGGCCCAAAGTCATAAAACTAGACTTTAAAAAAGGAGTCTTTTCAGCAGTGGTAATTTCCCAAAGATCACTAATAGCCTGCTAAGAATTAAAAGTTATATTCTTTATTAGTCAAGGGCTCACTCTGAAGGAAAATATTTTTCACAACTAGTGGAGTACTAGTGCTCTGTTACACTATGAGATAATCATATAAGCATCAACAAATCCATGTTTATGTGATCATGTGAACTTAAATGCACAGAATCAAAACATGTCCCTGTGTCCTATTTTCCACTCTCTCCCCTAAGCCTTCTGGCTAAATTACCTACTTAAATAAACTGGTTCATCCTTTCCTCAAAGGGCTGAATGGGTGGAGATTTGAAATGTCTAAGTCAAAAAGGAGAAAAAAGGGCTGGGGGTGTGACTCATTGGCAGAGTACCAAGCACAGTGAGCACAAAGCCCTGAGTTCAAAACTCAGTACTGCCCCCCAAAAAAGGAGAAAAAATAGTCTCAATAAACACAAAAAGCTAATAAACCAGAAAATCACTCATTCTGTAATTGACTTACTTAGTTGATTATAACTACAACAAAACCCTCATTCTTTATGTATTCTCCATAAAAGAAATTATAGAAGAGTTTAAATATAAAAACCTATTCACAATCAAAAATTATTGGTCAGATGCTAGGTAATATTTAAGAGAGAATTCTTACCTCTTTAGCTGATTCTGATTTGAGTTCTTCTGGGTCCAATACATCTATCCTGAGTGTCTCAAAATGTTTCCGAAACTCAGAGTAAATTTGGTCATCAACTTTGGTGAGTTTCAGAAACTGTGGGTCAACTGATGAAATCAGCTACGAAATAGTAAAACATACAGATGCTAGTCTCTAATTTACTATACTTCTATCCCAGCCCCACTCTATAGAAATGCCTTATGGTTCTTAGGGAAGATTCATTAGGAAGTTTTAACAAAGTTCAAAGAGCCATATATTATTACAGTCTTTTCCATCAATTTGGACCATTTAGTCCTAGTATTACGTGGCTCTGTGGATTGTTCATTTACTCAACAAACATTTATTAAGAGCTCACTATGTATGGGCCAGACACCCTGTTGCCAGATAGCAACAAAACACTGGGCAGAGAAGCAGAACTTCTCATTGCCAAAAGAAATTCACCTCTATCACTGTTCTCTACAGGTAAAATTTCATACTAATCAAAATGATCTCAAAAACATAACTGTTTAAGTTGCTAAGACTACTGATTAGAAGAGCACCACACATTGTAATTGCATGTTTAATTCTGCTAATGATAATGACAGAGAATTCACCTTGTAATAGACTTCAGCATGCTGCATTGCTCTCATGGCCCAAGCCATCTCAATATCAGGCTGCAAAAGAGCAGAGAATGCCAGGTCAGAAATCTCCCAATCCTGTTATGAAGGATGTCTATGATATCTAGCTCAAGAGAGTTACCAAAATTGGTGTTACTGTCAAAGGATGAAAACTGGACTAAGGGATTGAACAGCAGAATAATTCTTCTGTCCTTATGACAAAAGATTCTACCTATACAGAATAACAAAATCATTGAGCCACTGGCTGTCTCTCCCAGAAGCTACTGAAAAATGTGGAGACAACATAAAAGAGTAGATAAATCAGTTCCTCAGGACTCAGATAAATCATTATAAAAATTATATAATACACCACCTACACCCCTGAGTTGTTGATAGGGAAAAGATGATTTGTTTTGGTTGTTTTGTTGGGAATAGGGGTAACTCAGAGCCTCTCACTTGCTAGGTAGGTGCTCTACCACTTGAGCCATGCCTCCAGCATCCCTGGCTGTTGGGAGGACAAAGACAACAGATGTTAAATTACTTCTGAATTTTCAGCATGTGGCATATCATAATCTTCATTTGTGTTTATGAGATGGCCAATTCCCTACGCTATGACACCTAAAACCAGTATCAGAAAGCAGGCCAGGTTATAAATAAGTCTTACCAACCACCCAACACTTGTTCCATTGGACTCTCCCACTCCAACAGACTCATACTACACAAATGCCAGGAAAAGCCATTTGCATTTGTACCTCCATGCTTTGGACCATGAAATTTACCTACCCGCCAACCCATGTCCTTTGTCCATTTTACATGTTCAGGATCTAGTTCAAGTTCCACTTCCTTGGTGAAGGCCTCCATCCTTAGAGGTCTCTCCTTGGGCTAAACTCTTTGGATCCTATGTCCTGAGCCACTCATCTAGTATGTATTATATTCTTATTTGAGTGTTATTACTGTCATCATCCTTTTTTCTAGTTCCTCAAAATACATCATGTGTTTTCTTCATATCGATCTAAACCACACACAACCCTGTGCCACTTTGCTGCACAACAGACTCACTTGGGGACCTTTGAAAAAATACTGATTCTTGGCTCCTGTATCCCAGACATTCTGGCTTAATCTGATATGAACTTTAATCTGGACACAGGGATGTTACAAAGCTTCCCAGATGATTCTAAAGCACAGCAAAGTTAGGGAACCACACTTTTACAGGTGTTAACCCTGCCATTTGTGAATAAAGATTCGAATGAACTGAAAGAAGGTCCGATTTGGGGTGGACCTGGAGAGGATCTGCAGAAGAGATCAGGAAAAGAATTTATAATTCAGTGGCAGGCCTTGCCAACATCCCAGGCTAGCTTGGTGGGTAGGAGCTGTGGATAAGTCATACTCACATCATTGCCGTAAGACTCTGCTGGGAGAGAAAGGGCATGTGCCACGGACACCAGCTCCCCAGAAACCTGAGAAGAGAAAAAAAATAAAAAGCAGGGAGAGAGAGGAGAGTTCAAGGCTCCACTTGGCTCCACCCATCTCGACTTTGTATCACACAGCCCCAGAACGGAGTCTTACCGATCCATTGATCCCACTAGCAGCCTCCATGTTGCAGTCCAGAAAGCATGTCTTTGCCTTCCCGGAAATGACTTTTTACAGGCTCCTTCCAGTTGATAGGAAAGGGGAAGGGGCCGGACCAGAAGCATTCTCATCCGTCCACGCCGGCGCGCGCCCTCCCCACCACCGGAGGTAGTTGGTGGCTCCGCCTCACCCGCCCCCTCGTAGGGTTGGAGATTGTTTGTTCCGTTGAAAACAAATCTGAGTTAAAGTAAAGTGGCTTTCAGGTCTCCCATGCACTGTATGCCCATCAGAAATTCGAATTCACACTCGCCATTCTTGCACGCACGTGCACACACACAGACATCAGTACACCTAAACCGGGGAGTAAATCACACACAGGCTTGGTGGTCGGGAGTTTGGAATGCTGGCATGAATTTAGTCCCTGCTTTGAAAGAACTAGACAAGTGAGGGAACAGATAAGTGCTATCTGTAGATAAAGTGCTATCTTAAGCTGTGGGAGCATGATGGGGGCTATCTTAGCTGAGTCACGAAGAGCATCTAGCCAAGTAGGTAGGAAAAAACACTCCAGGCTGGGGGAACAGCGTGTGCAAAGATACTGCTGAATTAAGCATCATGGTACTTTGTTGGGAAATGCAAACTCTGTCTAGCTGTAGCAATAGTGTAGGTAGGTCTTTGTATGGTGAACATTAAAGAGTCGAGAGTTTACTCTAAAAGCTGTGTAAACTACTGAAATCCTTTAAGTAGCCCAGCCTCAGAGCAGGCATGAATTTTAAGATCACTCTAACAAAATGTGGAAGACTAAGGAAGACAAGATGGGAGGCAGACCAGCTTGAAGGCAATAGGTAGTGAAAATGAAGTCAGTGACGGTTGAGATTAAATTTGAAAATTAATAAGTCTTAGAATGATTAGGCCTTTTGGCTAATTGGATGTGGAGGATAAAGGGGAATTAGGACTCAAGGATGACTTCCTGGTGTAAGAATAGGATTTGGGGATGAATATTACTGAGCTAGAAATCACGGGAGGGATGAAGAGTTTAATTTGAAGAGTATGGGAAATCATATAGAACTGATAAGGCAGAGGGAAATCTGAGCCAAATATAAATTTGATAGCTGGCACTTCCGGTTTAGTTGACCTTTTGCAAGGAAAATATAATGAAGGATAAGAACACAAAGAGGATCTGGCTAAGAACAGAACAATTTATGAATAAGAAAAGGCAGAAAAGAAGACAACATAAAAGAGATGTCAGAAAAGAATAAGGCAGAGTCTCACAGAAGCCAAAGAATAAAAGAACTTCCAGGAAAAAGTGGTGAACAGAACCCAATACTCTCAGCACACTAAGCCCAGAAATATTGAGAGGTCATTGACATCCTTAGCAAGAGCAGGCTGAATGGAGTCAGATGACAGTGGGTTAAAAAGGACATGAGAGGTAGAAAAGACATGACAGTGACATAGAAAGTTCTTCCAAAAGTTGAAGCTACAAATATACACGATGCCTAGGCATTTTTTATTTTAATTGTGGTAAAGAACAGATAACTTAAAATTTCATTAACTTAACAATTTTTAAGTACATGATTCAGTATTGTTATAAATATAGTCACAATGTTGGGTAGCAGATCTCCAGAACTTTTTCATGTTGCAAAATGAAACTCCATACTTTTTAAACAGCAATTACCCATTTCCCTTCCCTCCCAGCCCCTGGAAGCCACCATTTTTTGTTTCTGTGAATTTCTATGTTAGATACTGCACATAAGTGGAATCATACAGTTTTTATCTTTTTTATGACAAGCTTATTTCTCTTAGGATAATGTCCCTGACAGGATTTCCTTCTGTTTTAAAGGTGAATAATACTCTATTGCATGTAAATACCACATCATGATTATTCATTTATCCATCAATGAATACTTGGGTTGCTTTCACCTTTGGGATATTGTGAATAATACAGCTATGAACATGGGTGTATAAATACCACTTTGAGATCCTACCTTTAATTATTTTGGATATATACCCAGAAGTGGAATTGCGGAATTATATGGTTAATGGATCATATTTTTAATATTTTGAGGAGCCTCAGGGACTTTTCAAATTATTATTTTAGGCATAAAAAAACTTAAGTAGCTGCTGGAGTGGCTCAAATGGTAAGATTGCCTGCCTAGCAAGTGTTGAGGCACTAAGTTCAAACCCCAGTGCTGCCAATAAAAAAAAACAATAAAAAGACTTAAATATACTGAGGAATTGGCCTTATACAAAAGACTGCCATGAAGTATGAGCTAGAGATACTTCCAAAGAAACTGAATAAAGAGAGGCAGCAAAAGTAGGATACTGAGGCATTAGTGACCAGCGCCTTTTGTTTTCTCTATAAAGTATAATAGGACAGCTGAAATAGGAAGAGATGTATTAAAGTCTTGTCTTGAGAAGAAAGCCTTTAGAAGTCTTAAATAACTGCTCAGAGGAGTGGGAGAGTTGATCTAACTAGGAGATGGAGGTAATTTTTCAACGAATAGCTTTATCAAATGTTTTAGGCAGATTTTCTATCTTTAAATTTTAAATCCCCATTAAAATATGTAATATGTGCATGATTTGTTTGTTAGGGTTATTTTTAATTTTAAAAAATAAGGTAACTACTCATAGACTAAGAGACTTGCAGAGACCATGAATTGGATCCTCCCAATATTTGACAAGTCAACTGATTCTTACCCCCTAACTTCAGGAGCTAAAACTGTTGCCTAGCATTTTTGTCATCACTAGGCAAGGACACTAGCCCAGGCAGAGTTATTAGAATAATTGTTTACACTTACACCTATTGTTTCAGATGGACTCAATGTAATGGACTATTAAAATAAATGAGAGAAGAATGGTTAAGAAATAAAAGGCAGTACACAAAAGGGGAGAGTTGGTAGACTTTAATAACTAAAGACCAAGGAAAGACCTTTTGGTGTGGGGTAAGAAAACTGGAGGTGAAAATCCATTGGAATTATTCCCTCTTTCTCTTTCTCTCTCTCTCTCTCTCTCTCTCTCTCTCTCTCTCTCTCTCTCTCTCTCTCTCTTTCTGAAGGGTACCAATGAGTTGTCTTTCAGTCTCATTCTCAGAAAGTTAATGTGGACATGCCATGAGTAGAACCAGAAGGCATCATCAGTCCTGATTAAGTACCTGAGGTATCTGTCATGTCAGTGATCCCCAGGAATGTGGAGGAGGTAAAAGATATAATTACTAAGAGATACAATGTAGGAAGACAGTGAGTTATCGAATATGAGATTGACAGTGGCAAGGCAGCTGGACAAGTGCTGCTATTTGCAGGTGTTGAAACCATGTAAATGCCATGAGAATGTGGATCACATAGTCTTGGTGTCTGTCAGACTATGTGGAAAATGTAAACTTGATGTACCTTGAAACTAGTCATTTAAAACCAAGAGGAGGAGCTACCGGCTTCCGTGCTCCACTGTGCTTCTCTAGCTGTAGCCTTTCCTTTCTGTCTAATAAATTCTACTTTATAAAAAAAAAAAAACCAAGAGGAAATATAGGATAATAGTCAGAAATTGTGTTAATCTACTTGGAAAATATGAAATCTGGATAATATAAACTTCTATGACAGGTGTGGTTCATGATATGTAGAGGGGATGACTCATATAATCTTATACTCCTGTTAATGTGAAAGTTGGATGTTGGAGAAGAAATCTCTAATGGTCATGTTCACAGGGCATATGCGATGGTCAAGAAGGAGTACAACAGTAACCCAGGATGCCTTGATACATTGGGTCTTGTTGCAGACACTTGTTAGTAACATAGCTTCAAAATACAGGGAAAAAATTACAAGCAGAAATAAACATATCCATTAAAAGAATGGGTTATTTTACATGTCTCTCAGCAATTAGCAGCTCAAATAGCTAATAAATACAAATTTAGAAGTTTTGAGCAACATGATGAACCAACTTAATTTATTGGATATACACTGAACCCTGAACCCAACAATTGCATAACGTACATTATTTTCAAGCATCCATGAAAGATTTATAATGATTACATTATAACATGTGATAAAGCACATTTCAAAAAGTAATAAGAAATTCAATTCATACAGATAGGCTAGAAACCATGCCTGTGCAGAAAGTACAGCTAAACATGTCAGTGAGTTATTGAACATAAATTGAGTAGTAAAATAAGCCAGGTAGACACACTACGGGGGGCATACTTCTATTGGATTATAGAGGGGAAAGTAAATTTGATTAACCTTGAAATTTGTCACCAGAAGCTGGGGGGGGGGGGGAAGGGGTAAGAGGAACCTTGGACTGTGATCAGAAATCTTTTAAGAGAGTGTTCCACAAAAGCAAAAAACCTGATTATCAAAACTTAACAGGGAACAGGTAAAAGAGATGGTTTGTACCACCTGGGTTACATGTGAGAGTGGTAATCATATTGCTGGGCAGTTTTGTGGTCAGGACATACAACAGTGTACCAGCTCCTTGGGATGTCATTCTGGTCAACATGACAGTTGTTACAGGAGGTGACATAAAGTGTTGCATCCATTTTGGCACTACGACGAATCGCATACCCATGAAAATCTTTCTAGTCTTGGGATGCAGTAACTAACAGGGGTTGACATCATGACACAGACGCAACAAATATCCTTCCTTTTCACAGTTACTAGTCTCCATAAGTCCCTCTCAACTTTGTATCTTTGTCCAGAATCTCAGCCTCTAGAACTGTGACAAATTAATTTGTATTGTTTATAAATTACCCAGTCTCAGATATTTTGTAGCATAAACAAGGACACTATGTTTTAATTTACTATCAATATCCCTACTGGAGACGTAGCATTGTCTTTAAAAAAAACATGCATATACGAGGTTTCAAGAAACTCACATTAAAAATATTTTTTCTGCCACTCTATCCTTCAGATTGGAACAGAGATTTAAGTTAGGAAAAAGCAGTAGCTACAAGACCCCTCTAGAAGAGGGGTGCCTCTGCAGAGAATTAAGTTTTATTTTGACTGAACAGCACACGTTTTTTCAAACACAAAGGGCGGGGGAAGAGCTGAGTTGAGACGTTTGTGGTCTCATACTGCCACCTAATGGTTGAAGTTTCATCAGCCGAAAACAAAAGTCTGGGAAAATAGGTTTTTTCCACTGGATTTCTGCACTTTAGACCCGCAATAGAACAGTGAGATAAGAAAGCAAGGTAAATTGGCAGAGGAACGCTACAGCCGACAGACCAAAGGTCCCACTAATTAGCTGGTGTGGATGCCCCGGAAGTAGATTTGCAAAATTGTCGGTCGCGCGGTTTCGTTAAGTACTGCCCCGGAAGCCATTGCAACAGCAGCAGGAAGTTCCTGCATTCAAAGACTGCCCTTCCGGGGACGAGAGCGTTGTGGCTGATGAGAAGCTTTTACCGTGTTTATCCTGATGTACGGAACTCGACTCACTGTGCGGTACCTATGCCCTAATCTTATTTCGCACAGTATTCTTTTGTTTCCCTAAGGAGCGGACTGTACTGAGAGGAATGGAGAGAAAAGGCAGAAGATCTTAGTCCTCCGACCTTATATTAGCGTAATCTCGAGGAGCAATGCGAAGATGGACACGTTCAGTGGTCCCTGGGCATGCGCATTAAGCTGTACGGAGTTCCCGGGCAAGCTGTGTCATTTCTGCCTTGATGATTCACGGCTTGAAGTTTCTCCTGTTCCTTATTGGGTCAGGGCCCGGGTTCGTGAGTGGGACAAAGAGAAATCCTTCTAGCAGTGCAACCTTCTACGGCGTCATCCGCCCAGCAATCCATACGTCCTCTAGTTAACGAAACATCTATTTACTGAGCACCGTGTGATGTACCAAACCCCGGAGACCCAGGACACGTAAGGTTACAAAGGCCCGGTTCTGAGGGACCGCTCATTCTAGTGGGTGCAGACAGACAATAAGCAAATTATTGAGTTAATTTTAGGTAGTGATAAGTAAAAGTAAGAAATTTAAACGGGGTGATGCGACAAAGAAATGCGTTGAGTGTAGCTTCATTTAGGTGCTTAGATTCTGCTTTTCATGGAAATGGTATAGAAGACAGGAGTGTTCTTTCATGACTGATGACCTTGATAAGTGAAAAGTTTTCGTCCAGGTTTTATGCTGTCTTGTGCCTTACTGAGACTTACTTAGATTACCACAAAGTATAGATGTATTTGATGCTTCATTCCTTCTAGTAGCTCCTGGGCTCTCAAAATTAGCATTAAAATAGAAAATTCTGGTAAGAAGGGTTTAGTGAGAATAAGAAAGTGCCAGCACTAGAGCATGGACAACAAAAACTTCTAGGTTAGGTCCTTGAGCACTTGGGTTAAATGTCTGCTTCCACTGAACTCCAGAGTCCCAAGTCTGGGGAAACCTGGTTCTCTTCCTCTTTGTGGTCTGCCTTCCCTTCTGGCCTCCTTTCTCTATAGGTCCTGGGATCTTTTCCTTCTAGTTTGGGTCAATATAGGTCTTCGCTTTGCTGTCAGGGAGGAGTGTGTCACAGAAAGACTTCCAGTGCTATCAATGAAAAGCCAGTGGAATTTTAATTCTGGATAAGAGTTGGAATGGGCCATGTAGCAGTGTGTCCTACGTAGTTTTGGAGGCTTCATAGAGTTGGCACAAGGACTAGGACTGGTATTTTAAGGAATTCTGTGGTTTAGCATGAAGATAAAATCATAATGACAGTAGCATGGGAAATTGAGTAAAATAAATAAGTGCATATTGTGTGATGGGAGGAAATAGGATCCTCCCAGTGATCCCTGGCCTGGAGGAAGCAGGGGAGTTGGAAAGCTAGAGTCTCTAACTAGCTCTGGTTCTCCTTTTGTAGGTGTGGGGTGCACAATGAAGGTAATCCAAAAATAGGCCTCCAGAAAGAATGGCAACAATAAAATTCAGGGTGCCTTGACCAGAGAAAAATGGTTCCCAGCCCACAGCAAAGTGAATGGCCCAAGTAGGTGGGGAATGGTGGGAGGCAGGAGAAGGCTGAGACTGGTTGGTGGGTTGCTGCAGTATAAGGGAGAACCTGGAAAGAGTTCTGCATGCCCTCTTTAAAGGCACCTCTCTACTTTCCTTGAGTTGGAATATTGAGGACACCCTGCTGGTTTAGCCCAAGGCAGTAGTATGTTTTTGTTCTGTTATGTTGGATGGTGGGTTGACATTGACTGTGATCTTCAGTTCTTTCTGTAGTCAGCACCTGACTTTTCTCCAAATACAGGACTAACAGGTTTTGTCCTCTTTGTTCTGATTATTGAGATTTGGAATTTTCCATGCTTTGCATATAATTTAGCTACATTGTTTTGGGAATAAAGATTCCTTATAGAGATAGGGAAAAGGGAATGTTGAGAGGAAGATGAAATGCCTGACATGGTATGTTTTGATCCATAACAACTGCCTACATCCATTTGAGATTTACCATTTGCCAGCCTGTGCCAAGGACATCTTCCGTATTTCCTCACTTAATTTTCGTAGTGCCCTGGGCACACTGATACTTTTAACTATTTTTATTTACATGTGAAGAAACTAAGACTTAGTTTAAGCGACTTAGCTGAGATTAAACAAATACAGCCATGGTTTTAGGCCCTCTTCATCTCTAGCCCAATGTTTCTGCAAGTGTGGTTCCCAGACTAGCAGCAAGAGCTTCACCTGAAAACTTGTTAGAGATGCAAAGTCAAGACCTACTGAGTCAGAAACTCTGGGGTCAGGGCCCAGCCATCTGTGTTTTTAGACTTTCAGGTGATTCTTGTAAGGAACTGCCAAACAAAGACCACACCACGTGTGGAAAAGAAAGATTTATTGAAATACAGACTGCTGGGCTGTCTTCCTTGGGATGAGGGTGCAGCAGCTTGGCTGGAATGGGTAGTGGGCTTTATAGGAGGGGCCAAGCCGTGAGGGAGGAAGAGAGTTTCTGGTCTCCGATTATCTGTGATCACCAGATGGAACAGGTCAACATGCTTAGCTAGTTGAGAAACTGGAAGTTCCTGAGATTTTGCAAGCAGGGAAGTTTGGCAAGCGGTTATAAATCAGGGGGTCTGGTTTCAGTGTTAGCCTCGGGACTCTCCGCCCACCCCAAGAATGCCAGGGACTTAACAATTCTGACATATAATCAAATTTAAGAACCACAGCTTTAGCCAGTGCCACAACTCTTCACAAACCACTAGAGCTGAACTTTCCAGAGACTTTGATGAACTTACACATCATGTACAGTCTGTTTGTGGGCTGGTCCTTGGGCCATACCTTGAGTCCAGAGTCTCTATGCTATCCTGTACTTCTGTGCATCTTAGGTAAGCATAGCTATTGAAAAAGTGAAGCTTTGCTAAAGCTTCACCTCTTTTTTTCATGATTATATAATCATTTCTTTTTTTCACATCTATTTTTTTAAAAAATTATCAGCATAAATTAATTGTACAAAGGAGTTTCATTGTGATATTTACATATATACATATAATGTACTTTGACTGAATTCATTCCATCTATATTACTCCTCCTTAACTCCCTTCCTCTCTTTAACAGTTATAGTAGTTTTTGTTATGCTGTTTTCACATATGTATTATATATACATATGTATAATGGACTTCTATCATATTCTTCCCCCATCACTTTTTCGTTTCTCTCCTCCTCCCATTGGCTTCCCCCTCTAAACAGTCCTCCTTTTACAATCATGTATTATTTTTATTATTATTATTATTTTGGGCCTAGACTCTGCACTTCAGTCTCTTCAAAGTCCTGATTTCTGACAAGCTACAAGATTCTTAGTTGCTCTCAACTGTTTATCTTTTTCAAGTACTTGCTTAAGCATGAAGATGATAAAGAAATCAGATGCCAGGACCCATTCCCTCCTTCCTGAACATCATTCCAGAAATGCTGGGTCCAGACATTACTTCTCTAAGTAGAAAGAGTGCTGAGAGGTAGTCAACAGAGCATTCTGTAACTGAATGAGATGAGATGTGCTAACTGGCCAGGAGGGCAGCAACAGATGATCATTGCAAATATAAAGTAATTTTCTGAAGTGTTGAGATTACTTTGATAGATATCCTAACTACCAAACTACTGGTTAGTAAGGCTGATGTGCCTCCCAAAATTTCCTGTGCCCAGTAAATTTGTATCAGGAAAATGCCATATGTTCTTAATTGCTAAACAAGCTACCATTAAAGAGTACACATTGCTGGTTTCTAAGGCATGTAAGACTGCTTGCTAGGAAGCTACCTGTTTGTTGGTATGAGATGTTTGGGGTCTGTTTCTTATAGTTATGGCAAATGAGGTTATATTTGCTTAAGGCAGGGTTGGAGATTGGAGGACTGCTAAGTTGGATGAGGGAGTGTCACTGCATCTCTGTGGCCCCTTTTATCTTCCTAAACTTCATGGAGAAGGTGCTGAGTAACATGTATCCTACCTGAAGGAGGTAGGATTCTTGAATATCATTGTTGTGGGGTAGACAATAAAAAAGTACGAGATTCTGCTCCTTAAATCTCCAACAATCCTGACCAAAATACTTCTAAAATTAGACCTTAATAGGTTATGGGGCTTTAAGGCTTCTGTAGAACATATAGGGTGGCCAGCATCCAAAAATATAGCTGTTATAGCCACCACCAGGCTACAGCCCACTAGTTATCAGGTATTAAAATTGTCCTCATAGAGGTTCAGTGGTTACATGGATCTCTGCTTTGAGATGGGTAGGGAAACTACAGCAAGCTCAGCTTAGCCACTACTGTAGCTCACAGCAGTGCAGACAGACAGAACTGTCTGTAATTCTCCCTGGGATTCCAGGAGCTGCAGGGGTAAGGCTGGAATATCTAGCATCCTTGGCAAATGAAACTCAAGTAAAAGAGAAGCAAATTGTATCCTTCTGGTGATGGAATGAAAGAAGATGCTTCCTGGAGTGCTGCATAGAGGCAGAGAGTAGACCCAGCAGAATCAGCATAATTTAGGTAGGGTCTCCTACCCACTGAGAAACTGGTGAGGAAGGCTGCCCCTCCACAGACCCAGGTACCTGGCTTCAGTTTGGCTTAGTAGGGGAGACACTCTCACAGCATACTTTGAAGCCACAAATTTGAATTTCTTGGGAAATTGTACAGATAGTGACTCACACAGCCCTATCGCCTCCATGGAGTTTTTTTTTTTTTAATACCTGTCTGGGGGGGTTGTTTATAGGCCTAAGTTGAAGTATATTTCATCCAGTGCCTTCACCTTCTTTTGCATCTAAATTGCTTTGAGGGAGCTCATAAAGAATATTTGAAAGGATGCCCCATCTAGAAGAAAAATCCATATATATTTGTATATGTATACATGTATGTATTGTGTAGATACATGGATAGACATAGAGATTTTCTTAGCACATTTTAGAGGAAGTTTCAGGGTTTTGCTTGTTTGTTTCTTGGTTTGTAGTACTGTGGTTTGGGCTCAAGGCTTTGTGCTTGCTAGGCGGGCGCTCTACCACTTGAGCCAAGCTTCCAGTCCGTGAAGTTTCAGTTTAAAGAAGGTATATAAATTCCCCGTGTTTGATATACTTAGACTGACAGTAGTCAGAGATTTCTTTCCTCTTTTTGGAAGTGGTATGGCTCTTAGTCCCTTAATACTAGCCTCAGGGTCTAGGATAAAGCACTTTGTAGGAGCTGTATGTATCCCATATGGCAGCTGGACCAAGCAGGCCAGTAGGGCTTTGAATCTTGTTCATAATCCAGCCCCTATTTATCCCTTATCAGATATAAGATAGTGGGGCTTACTGTTTTCTCTTTTTCTGCCCTGCATGCCTTTTCTGGTTGCTCTCTCACTTTGATAAGCTACGAGTCTGGGTGGATTGTGTCTCTCAGGCCCATCTGTGTGCATTACCAATGATAGTAACTTTACTATCATTGGTAAATAG